CCACGCTGTGGGAAGATCTCCAAGTCCAAACAGGTCCCCTCCCCATCTGCCTCTCCAGACAGCATAGCCAGGCATCACTCTGTGCTGCTGTCCCAGGAGAATGGCAGCTCCAAGGGGGTACGGACATCCTCCCCACTCCTTCGCCCTGGCAAGTATGTGGCCATCGACTGTGAGATGGTGGGCACTGGTCCTCGGGGCAGGCAGAGCGAGCTGGCGCGGTGCTCCGTAGTGAACTATGAAGGGGACGTCATCTATGACAAGTATGTCCAGCCTGAGCTCCCCATTGTGGACTACCGGACACGCTGGAGTGGCATCACCAAGCAGCACATGAAGAGTGCAATTCCCTTCAAGACTGCCCAGGCAGAGGTGAGGAAGAAGAGAGAAATTTTTAAAAAAAAGACTGGGTTATCTGCTGGTCACAAATTGGGATACTTGGTGGCCTGTGCTGAGCTGCTCTGAGGCAGAGACAAGCACAGGATGGGGAGCCTCCAAAGCCATGCAGTGAGTTGGTTTGCTTGTTACTGCTCCATTCTGGGAACCTAAAAAGCTAGAACTGAAGGAACTGAATTTAACACAGAATGATTTATTTTATGCTTAGTTGGTGTTTCTTTTGCTGTACCACTTGTCTAACCCTTTCTGACGCTTCCAGATCCTGAAGATCTTGAAAGACAAGATTGTGGTAGGACACGCCATCCACCATGACTTCCAAGCCCTAAAGTACTTCCACCCGAAAGACAGGACTCGAGACACCAGCCAGATCCCTGTGCTGAAACAGAAGGCAGGGCTGCCTATCAAGGCCAGCGTCTCCCTCAAGAGCTTGGCCAGGCACCTGCTCCGTAAGAAGATTCAGGTAAGCACCAGGGACCTTGAGATACAGAGCAGTTCCTAGGTTTGCTATGAGCCTGTGTGGTCAGCTTGGTCCCCCCATCTCCATGAGTGCTCTCTGTGAGATGGAGATGAACCTTGTTCATCCTGTACTCCCGGTTTGGATCAAGCTGAGGGAGCCCATGACCTCCGAAGCTGCCCACTGAGCACTTGAGTAAAGCAGGGACAGGACCTGTGCCCTCTAGAAAGTGCTTGAGATGGATGTACCTCCTGGGCTGCACTGAACCTTTGCCATCTCCAAAACCCCCAGCACTTGCGTCCTTCCGAGCAAGCAGACAAGGTGACCTGTTGGATTTTTGCCAAACCCTTTTTCTAATGAGGCTTTTACCCCTTTGCTCAGGTCGGCTGCACAGGGCACTCGTCGGTGGAGGATGCTCAGACTGCCATGGAGCTGTACAGACTCGTGGAGGTGCAATGGGAGACGGAGCTGGCCCGTAGCCTGCCCCCACGGCCCCCCA